AATAATGTATTTGGTACCAAAACAAAGTTCCAAATCACATTTACTTTTTGCAATTATGTGATTATTCTACAGTTTCTCAATACTTTGTTATATACCCTTTGTTGGCAAATGACACAGGTCAAACGTTTTTCTGTAAGTCTTACAAGGTTTTCACACACTGTTGCTGGTATTTTGGCCCATTCCTCCATGCAGATCTCCTCTAGAGCAGTGATGTTTTGGGGCTGTCGCTGGGCAACACAGACTTTCAACTCCCTCCAAAGATTTTCTATGGGGTTGAGATCTGGAGACTGGCTAGGCCACTCCAGGACCTTGAAATGCTTCTTACGAAGTCACTCCTTCGTTGCCCGGGCGGTTGTGTTTGGGATCATTGTCATGCTGAAAGACCCAGCCACGTTTCATCTTCAATGCCCTTGCTGATGGAAGGAGGTTTTCACTCAAAATCTCACGATACATGGCCCCATTCATTCTTTCCTTTACACGGATCAGTCGTCCTGGTCCCTTTGCAGAAAAAACAGCCCCAAAGAATGATGTTTCCACCCCCATGCTTCACAGTAGGTATGGTGTTCTTTGGATGCAACTCAGCATTCTTTGTCCTCCAAACACGACGAGTTGAGTTTTTACCAAAAAGTTCTATTTTGGTTTCATCTGACCATATGACATTCTCCCAATCATCTTCTGGATCATCCAAATGCACTCTAGCAAACTTCAGACGGGCCTGGACATGTACTGGCTTAAGCAGGGGGACACGTCTGGCACTGCAGGATTTGAGTCCCTGGCGGCGTAGTGTGTTACTGATGGTAGGCTTTGTTACTTTGGTCCCAGCTCTACAAAAAAAAAAATCCTACAATGTGATTTTCTGGAGAAAAAAAATCTCGATTTGTCTGTCATAGTTGACGTGTACCTATGATGAAAATTACAGGCCTCTCTCATCTTTTTAAGTGGGAGAACTTGCACAATTGGTGGCTGACTAAATACTTTTTTCCCCCACTGTATGTATGGCAATCTGCTCTTGGTTGTTGACTAATAAAAGCAGATGGAATGATGGATGGAGAGATAGGGGAGTAGGTTGTATACATACGCTGCGTGAGGCTCTTTGAACTTGCCAACCATCTGGATGTGAAACATGAGGTCTCCTCCGTTGACATACTCCATCACATAGTACAGACGGTCCTGTGTGATGGAAAATAATGATGCTGTTACCAGGGAAACAAAAATACACACATATACACACACACACAAATTGGTTCTTGATTGGCAAATGAATGGACCTTTTAGTCAAATACTCCACCTAATTATTGTTTGACCTGAGGGAGCAAACAGATAAGACCACAGACACATGAACACTAGTACCAATGCCCTGGCCCTCTCCTAATGATTTCAACACACACACAGACACACACAGACACACACAGACACACACAGACACACACAGACACACACAGACACACACAGACACACAAACACACACACACAAAATTAGCCTCATATGGACATTGCACACACATGGCCACTATAGACAATGCAAAAACACACACATGCGCATGCTCACACTCACGGATGGGCGCGCACACAAACGCGTACACACGTGCGGGCGCGCGCTCGCACCCATACACACACACACATTATGTAATTCCCCTCCAGTCAAAATTAAAAAGCAATCTGTTCTCAAATAACCCCTCCTCTAGGACTAATGACCTCGTTAAGGGAAGCAAGCTAATTAATTCATTCATTCATTTAAACACAGATCTGGGTCAACTAAGACCAATATCATTAAAAGGTGAATTACCTAAATGTCTTAAACTTAGGACCTGATAGTTTAAAGCACTGACATTTTGATGGTTGTTCATTGACTGAACAGTGCTTATTCTACATGATTGATTGACAGACATAATTATATGCGTGTACAATATGGTTACATGTAGTGAATGTAGTTTAACGACTTTGTTGCAAACTGCCAGGAAGGAATTGTGGTAACACGTTGCTCCATCACACACACACACACCTCTGTCTGGAAGGCTGAGTAGAGTGCTGTGAGGAAGTGGGGGCGGTTGGCCAGTCCCAGAACCCTCCTCTCCACCATGGCACTCTCTGTGTCCTCATCCTGAAACAGCACATCCTTCTTCAACACCTTCACCGCAAACAGCCGCTCACTCCCTCTCTCCTCAGCCAGCAGCACCTGGGGGAGAGGGGTGGAGGGGGAGGGAGGGAGGGAGGGAGGAGGGAGGGGAAGGAAGGAAGGAAGCTGAAGTTAGGGTAGGGGGTGCTTTTGACCAACTGACAATCAGAAAGACAGACTGACACACAGAAAGACAGTCTAGCTTTGTGTGAAAACATTGTTACATAGCCAAGCAAAACCAATGCTTTAGACACACATCTCTGCACACACAGTTCAGATCATCCACCGAAAGTGACCAGAGAAACTATGCACAAGAACATATTTTATCACAAAACCATACTACAGTATTTTCAAATGTTACATCCACAATATCTGTCCCTCATTCCATGAAATCACACTCTTGTTGTGTTTTTTCTTTAAAAAGATTTTTGTCAATCTCCTTCTCTCTCTCCATCTCACTGTCAAAGACGTAATACCCTGTCTCTGAAATTCTAATTCATATAGGCTTTATAATCGTTCAAGGTATTACAGTGCTACAAAAGCAGTTGCACTCTCCCCCTCTCTCTCTCTCAAACCTCCCCCCTCTCTCTCCCTCTCTCTCGCTCTCTCCCTCTCTCTCTCGCTCTCTCTCGCTCGCTCTCTCTCTCTCTCTCTCCTTTACGTTTGATCTCTTTCCCTCTATTCCTTTGTCACTAGTCTCTAGCTGCAGTACAGTAATCCCTCACCTCTCTCTCACTTTCCCCCCTCTCTCTCTCTCTCTCTCTGTCTGCGGCCCAGGGGTCTGTCTCTCCTTTCTTGGGTCGTATCTCTTTCTCTTACGTAAGCGTGTATTCCTCTGTAGACTATCTGCCAGTTATGAACAGAACAAAAGGATTTCACATGAAATGGAGTTCCAAATGTCCCTTAAAATAGTACATTATGGACTGGAGTGTCTGTCTGTGTGTGGGTGTAAGTGTGTGTGTATGTGTGTAAAGTAGCCTACCGAAAAATCTTGTATTCAATACCAGGACCAACGACCCAGGGGAAAGGGGTTGAAGAGCCAACTGGCAGCAGGGGATGATTAGGTGGCCATGATATTGTGAGGTGCCAGGTTGGGAGTTTAGCCAGGGCACTGGGGTTAACAACAAGAGTTGGGTGACCACTGAGAGTCTTATCTGAAGGACGGCTAGTACAATGTTAATGATGCTAATAATGTGTGTGTGTAATCGTCATGGTTTATGTTCAATACAGTATCTAATAGAATGGCTGTCATGATAATAATGGCGTTTCAACTTCAACTCAATTAGACCCAAGGGGCAATACTGGGCAGTGACATTGCAGGTAACACTATCTGCCATACCTGTACTTTTGATTGTGTTGCATCATGTCTACAGGCAGGTGTGTTACGTTTATTACAGTGTGTCTACAGACAGGTGTGTTACGTTTATTACAGTGTGTCTACAGACAGGTGTGTTACGTTTATTACAGTGTGTCTACAGGCAGGTGTGTTACGTTTATTACAGTGTGTCTACAGACAGGTGTGTTACGTTTATTACAGTGTGTCTACAGACAGGTGTGTTACGTTTATTACAGTGTGTCTACAGGCAGGTGTGTTACGTTTATTACAGTGTGTCTACAGGCAGGTGTGTTACGTTTATTACAGTGTGTCTACAGACAGGTGTGTTACGTTTATTACAGTGTGTCTACAGACAGGTGTGTTACGTTTATTACAGTGTGTCTACAGGCAGGTGTGTTACGTTTATTACAGTGTCTACAGACAGGTGTGTTACGTTTATTACAGTGTGTCTACAGACAGGTGTGTTACGTTTATTACAGTGTGTCTACAGGCATGTGTGTTACGTTTATTACAGTGTGTCTACAGACAGGTGTGTTACGTTTATTACAGTGTGTCTACAGGCAGGTGTGTTACGTTTATTACAGTGTGTCTACAGGCAGGTGTGTTACGTTTATTACAGTGTGTCTACAGACAGGTGTGTTACGTTTATTACAGTGTGTCTACAGGCAGGTGTGTTACGTTTATTACAGTGTGTCTACAGGCAGGTGTGTTACGTTTATTACAGTGTGTCTACAGGCAGGTGCATGTGTGTTCCAGTACCTTTCCGAAGCTGCCTTTTCCCAGCACCATGAGGAAGTTGAAGTCCTGGAGGCAAACCCTGGGCTTGACTGGTCCTGCAGGTAGGGTGGCCAGACAGGGGACTGACGGGGCTGAGGGGGACAGGACAGACACGGGGACAGGGACAGACACGGGGACAGGGGTAGGCCTCAGGGAGGGGGGGAGAAGGGAGGAGGGGATAGCATCTAGACCACTAGGCTCCTATTGAAGAGAGGAGGGGGGGGGGGGGGGGGGGCTTAGTTATAACAAGACTGTCACACACAAACCTGCACTGTACCTATTTTAGTGAAGCACTCCTGCACCCTGGTGATCAAAGTGAGGGAACTCACACACATTTTGTTTGGTCATACACCTTAGCCAAATATATTTAAACTCCAATTTCTTCACAATTCCTGACATTTAATCCTAGTAAACATTCCCTGTCTTAGGTCAGTTAGTATCACCACTTTATTTTAAGAATGTGAAATGTCAGAATAATAGTAGAGAGAATTATTTATTTCAGCTTTTATTTACATACACTCAATTAGTATTTGGTAGCATTGCCTTTAAATTGTTTAACTTGGGTCAAACGTTTCGGGTAGCCTTCCACAAGCTTCCCACAATAAGCTGGGTGAATTTTGGCCCATTCCTCCTGACAGAACTGGTGTAACTGAGTCAGGTTTGTAGGCCTACTTGCTCGAACACATTTTTTCAGTTCTGCCCACACATTTTCTATAGGATTGAGGTCAGGGCTTTGTGATGGCCACTCCAATACCTTGACTTTGTTGTCCTTAAGCCATTTTGCCACAACTTTGGAAGTATGCTTGGGGTCATTGTCCATTTGGAAGACCCCTTTGCGACCAAGCTTTAACTTCTTGACTGATGTCTTGAGATGTTGCTTCAATGTATCCACATAATTTTCCTTCCTCATGATGCCATCTATTTTGTGAAGTGCACCAGTCCCTCCTGCAGCAAAGCACCCCTACAGCATGATGCTGCCACACCGTGCTTCACGGTTGGGATGGTGTTCTTCGGCTTGCAAGCGTTCCCCTTTTTCCTCCAAACATAACGATGGTAATTATGGCCAAACAGTTCTATTTTTGTTTCATCAGACCAGAGGACATTTCTCCAAAAAGTATGATCTTTGTCCCCATGTGCAGTTGCAAACCGTAGTCTGGCTTTTTTATGGCGGTTTTGGAGCAGTGGCTTCTTCCTTGCTGAGCGGCCTTTCAGGTTATGTCGATATAGGACTCGTTTTACTGTGGATATAGATACTTTTGTACCTGTTTCCTCCAGCATCTTCACAAGGTCCTTTGCTGTTGTTCTGGGATTGATTTGCACTTTTCGTACCAAAGTACATTCATCTTTAGGAGACAGAACGCGTCTCCTTCCTGAGCGGTATGACAGCTATGGTGTTTATACTTGCGTACTATTGTTTGTACAGATGAACGTGGTACCTTCAGGCATTTGGAAATTGCTCCCAAGGATGAACCAGACTTGTGGAGGTCTACACATTTTTTTCTGATTTCTTTTGATTTTTTGCCATGATGTCAAGCAAAGAGGCACTGAGTTTGAAGGTAGGCCTTGAAATACATCCACAGGTACACCTCCAATTGACTCAAATGATGTCAATTAGCCTATCAGAAGCTTCTAAAGCCATGACATCATCTCCTGGCATTTTCCAAGCTGTTTAAAGGCACAGTCAACTTAGTGTATATAAACTTCTGACCCACTGGAATTGTGATACAGTGAATTACAAGTGAAATAATCTGTCTGTAAACAATTGTTGGAAAAATTTCCTAACCGACTTGCCAAAACGAGTTTTAATGACTCCAACCTAAGTGTATGTAAACTTCCGAATTCAACTGTATATATAACAATAGTTATATATAATATATGTATTCTATAACTCTAACTACACTACCCATAATCCCCTGCCTGAGTGTATGTCTTACATTTTCGTCAGGGACAGGCATGTTGTAGTACTCTCCCTCATCCTGGTCCAGCAGTTTGAACCAGCCGCTGACTGAGTGACGGAATATCTCGCTCACTCCGAACGACAGCGATCCCATGAAGTCATTCCGAGACGTACGGTCCCAATCCCACACCTCCACCGACAGACGACGATCCCACTGCCGCCCGCGCACCGAGCTGGGGCGAGAGATGGGGAGAGAAAGAGGTTACCGACCAGGTATCCAACCTCCAGTCATCTGTATGCCTCAAGACCACGTTAGCCCACTGAGCTAAAGCTCCTGCGGCAAACACAAATCTAGTTCGCTGTGCATAGTTCCCAGAACTACTGGTACACACACACACACACACACACACATCGTCACACACACACATCGTCACACACACTCACAAGGTGAAGCTCTCGTTCCAGACAGGGTTGAGTGTGGAGCGGATAGTCTTGGTCTTCTGTTTGCTCTGGCTCTTGGGGTCAGGGATGAGCTTGAGCTTCACGTAAGGGTCAGACAGACCGTTGGGGTCCATGGGGATCAGGTTACGAGCCTCCCGCACTGAGGGGGAGAGAGGGGGATGGAGGGAGAGAGGGAGAGAGAGAGGGAGAGAGAGAGAGAGAGAGAGATGAGAGAGAGAGAGAGAGAGAGAGAGAGAGAGAGAGAGAGAGAGAGAGAGTCAGACAATGGATAGCATAGATGGCCATACAGATGCCTTATCTTAATTTTATCACAGCAGGAAAATAATCCTGCAGCAACAGGAAATGTGAATTAATATGTGGATTATAATCAATGTACATTTTGTTGTAGGGGATGATACAAATTGTATTAGGGCAAATCAAGTCTGACATTTTAAAGTGGAAATTACAAACTTTAGAAGCCTTTTTAAACCTTGGAAACACTACAAGTTTGCATTTCCTGCTGTGCATGAAAATTCCTGCAACAACAGGATGATCAAATTAAGATATGGCATCTGTAGCTGCACCATAGAGAGCATTACTTGTGGGAGTGTGTGCCTGTATGCAGCTCACCAACTCCCCCTAGTGGTCAGTACCGGACAGTGCTAATGGTAGGGTGACAGAGGCATGTAAACGTTTTACATTTTAGTCATTTAGCAGACGCTCTTATCCAGAGCGACTTACAGTTAGTGAGTGCATACATTTTCATACTGACCCCCCATGGGAAACGAACCCACAACCCTGGCGTTGCAAGCGCCATGCTCTACCAACTGAGCTACACTGGGCTCGTATGAAACCCTGTCTCTATCAGTGGTTAGGGACAACTCTTCTAGACTCTTAGTACTGACCTGTGATGAAGATGTCCTCATTCTCTCCCCGGACGGTCAGGTGGATCCTGCCTCTCTTTTCTGTATGATCTTGACCACACAGGCTGGGCACCAGACTCTCACAACGCTTGTGGACATTCATCTCACAACCTGTAGTACACGCACACAAGTGTGCACGCAGGCACGCACCAACACAAGCACACACACACACACACACAAAGAGATAATAACACATGTGGGAGGAAAACAAACACACACTTATATTGTACATTCATGCTACACACACACATCACAACTGCTGCTCTTATTATGATTGCTAAATACTGCACAATTTAAACACTTGTCCCCCAATCCCCCGTTCCCCAAAACACATGTAAATATTGGACTATAAATTGTGCCTTCCTGTATTATACTTATGCTCAAAAATATATTATATTCTATTGAGCCATTTACTTTATGTTCATATTTTTATATTTTCTTATTTCTGATTGGTGTTGCATTGTAAAGGAACCTGCAAGTAAGCATTTTGTTGGATGGTATATACCATGTGTATACCGTACATACGGCTAATAAAACTTAAAACAGAACTTCTGGTTACTTACAGGAGCATTTCATGCCCTGTTGGATAAGGCCATAGAGCAGAGAACCACAGTGATCACAGAACGTTGGAGAGGTGTAGGTCTGAGGTCTAAATCTGTGTTTACTCTTCAAGTCCTGAGAGAGAGAAAGAGACAGACAGGGACGGATGGACGGACAGACGGACAGAGACAGAGAGAGACAGACAGACAGAGACAGACAGACAGAGATAGAGACAGACAGACAGACAGAGAGAGACAGAGAGATATACATACAAAGGGACAGACAGACATGGGGCAGTAAGTCATTGAGAGAGGAACATCCCCATGTTTACGTGTTGTGATAAACGGGGAGAAACAAGGAGAAACGAGGGAGAGATGGAGAGTGGTATATTCATGGCAACCAATTACATTTCTCTGCTGGGAAGAGAGTTAGATATGTTAATGAAATGTATTCCTGGGGAAGGGTGTGTGTGGAGAAGGCTGAATCATCTCTATCTGCTTTTCAGCTTATCAGTTTCTTCCCCCCTCCACCCCCCCCCCCCCCCCTCTAAATGTCTGTCTTCCTCTTCCTCTCTACTCCCCAAACCCCATCTCACACCCTTTGAGCTTTACTTTGAGAACACCCTCCGCCTCTTTCATTCTCTGCCAACTCTCGCTCTCTCTCCATCAGGCAGTTTCTGAGCCAAGCACTTCCTCCCAATTCCGCCCTGTCAATCTTTCTCCCTCGCACACACACTTACACGCATTTGTGCACACACACTCGCATGCGCACGCACCCCCCCCCCCCCCCCCCCCCCACACACACACACTCCCTCCTCCTCTCTCTCTCTCTCTCTTTGACCTCATTTCTGATCCAGTTTATTTAGCTGGCAGATAAAAGTCTGAAAAAAGACAAATCTCTTTGAAATCCCAAAGAGAGACAGAGAGAGAGAGCAATCTGTTCACCCTCTCTACCTCTGCTCGTGTCTCTCAGTCTTCCTGTCTCTCTCCCTCCCCCTCTCACTCCTCCTCCATCCTCTTTGTTTTATCTTCTCCCTGTCATTCTCTCTCTTTCTCTTCTTCTTTCTGGATGGATTGGCGACAGAAAGGGAGGAGTGAGGGAGTAGCCTGAAAAGGGGAAGTGTGGAGTGGAGGGATGGATGGTTGGAGAGATGTAAAGATCTATATAAGGATGAATGACAGTAAAGGCGGAGTGGAGGAATGACAGACAGAGGGACAGGTGTGTGTGTGTGTGTGTGTGTGTGTGTGTGTGTGTGTGGCTGTGTGGAATGATGGATGGATGAGCGAGTGAGGGAGGGAAGGAGGGAGGGAAGGAGAGAGGGAGGGGTGAGTGTGGGAGAAGGGGGAAGATACTCACTTCTGTAGGAGCGGTGGGGGCTCCAGGACAGGTGAACGTTACATACTCGTGACATCGCTTGTGGACAGAGAAACTGCACACTGCCACAAAACACAGAGCAGAAAGCCAGTCAACACATTATTACATCCAAATCCATTTGATCCCTGTTTATAAAAACCTAATCTGATTATAAGAATAATGTGGAAAATGTGTGTGTTCTAGTCTTTGTCAAATAAAAAAACAAACTGCTGAATGTCATCTAGATTCTTCACTAGGATAATATTGCCTTGGCTTGCTCTTAGGGGTTAAGGCCTATAATTGCTGTTAACGTCCTTTGACAAATGCATTTGTAAAATGTGTAATCCCCCCAAAAACATTGATTAATGATTACTTATGATCCAATAATCCTTACCTTGACATTGAAATCCCTGCTTTCCAATTCCCCTGTGTGGAACAAACCCATAACACAACACACATCAACCACACACAGAAACCATCAGTGATCTTCCATACCACACAACTGAAAGGACTGGCCTGCTCAGTAGAAGATGAGCAGATGGGCCTGAACAGAAAGATATGCATCATTGGGTGCAGTGCTGTAACCCACAAATAATCCAATGTTAACAAATCAAGATGGCTATAGCACTTATAGATAAGGCTCCTTCTTTTGTTCTATCTCATAACAGCAGTCGACAAGGAAGCATTTGGGCCATAAAGCCTTTGTCAGCAGAAACCGCCAAGCAGGGTGTTGTGGCAAATACATGTCCTTGTAACGGCTTTTCTAGAATAAAACAGCAGCAATACAGTGAGAATGCCTGAGAGTGTGCTGAAGGACATCTCTATAGATTACTACACTGACTGTAGTGCTGATCAGGTCAACTAGGAGAGAGGGGCGGTGTTTTATTGTCTCTCTCACACACATACCAAACACCCCCTCCTCACCCCCCCCTCCTCCCTCCTCCTCACCCACTCCTCACGCCCTTCCTCCTCCTCCTCCTCTTCCTCCTCCTCCCCCCCTCCTCCCCCTCCTCCTCCTCCAGAGTTGCAGTGTCTGCTGCTTTCCTGTCTCCTTAGATCTTAATTGAATAATGAAAGTCATTGATTGGCTAAAGAGTCCACTCAGCCAGTTTCCTGGCTGTGAATCAGCTGCTGATTAAAAGGTAAGCAGCAGAGAGGCGGGAGAACAACACTCTACAGAGAGAGGGCCCTTGAGGATCACACTGAAGTAACCCCCCCCCCAGGTTCATGTCAATAGTCACTGAGAGATGTCTCATCTCCTCCTCTCCTCTCCTTCATCTGCACTGTGTGACAGCGACAGGCTAGTGACCTAGTGAAGGAGGGGAAATGACATCCGCCATATTGGTTTCACCTCTGCAGTGTTTCCATATCAGCACAGATCAAGGAAAGACGATGAGGAGTGTAAACCACTCGAGGTGGTTCAGTACTATGACAGTTCTTTGTACTGTCCACCAGAGAGTGCCAGAGAGGCAGAGCTACATTATGACAGGTCAAACAGCACCACCTGATGGTCATAGGATGACAGGAGAGAAGACAAGCCAAAAGCATCTATCTGGAGAATCATATTATATTAAATATAGATATCTATTTATTCAGCCATACATCAACCACATGCACATGACTATCATATGATAATGTGTAGCGATCTATTCCAGTACCAGGGGAATGGAGAGGAGACCTTGTGAAGTTTTGACAAAGGCCCTGCAGACAGAATATTGACAATAGAAAGTCTCCTTTCAATCCCCTGGTCTTTGTTTTCAATAGTATACAGCCCTAGAGGATATGATTTAACTGTGTAGCACTGATCTCTTTTATCATGCCTATTGTAGGAAACCAATAGAATCTCCACAGGGAGAGATGGAGAGATGGAGAGATGGAGAGATGCCTGTAACTCGTGTGTAAGACTGCTGTCTGGAGTTATATGGTATTTTTGTGATGTGTATTTTTAAACAACCAACCCTAAATCTATCTAAGAGAGAGCTAACGTATCTATCTATCTTTTCCCTTTGTTAAATAACCATACTGTTGCCATGACAGTCGTTCACTGAAATGTCCTGAGAACTTCCCAGTGGCTGTTGGCAAGAGGAGAGGTCTACACTCAGCCTGCCCTCTCCACAATATGTCCACACGTGCACGCACAGAGACGTGCACACACAGATTCTACACTGCCCTGCTTTGGTTGTGTCTGCCAGAATGAGCATACTGTACGTGAGACTTCCAAACAGTCTTGGGTCATGTATGTGACTGTGTGAGCATGTGTGTTACTGTGTGTGTTTCAACCAGATTAAGTTTGTGCAGTGGCTGCAGTTTGAGAGTTAGTGGGAAGTTTGAAGAGGTGGCCAGTGAACTATGGAGACCTGGAGTGTTTGTAAGTGTGGGTTTCTGCAGATGCATAATGTGTGTGTAAATGTGGGTTTCTGCAGATGCATAATGTGTGTGTAAATGTGGGTTTCCAGGTGAAGGTTGTGCAGGGGCTGCAGTTTGTGGGTTGTTTGCAGAGGCGAGCTGGGAACTAGTGAAGCATGTTTTCTGTTGTGTGTATTTAGCTGTGTGTGTATTTAGCTGTGTGTGTATTTAGCTGTGGTGTGTGTGTATTTACCAGATGAAGTCGGTGCAGTGGCTGCAGAAGGTGGGCTGTTTGAAGAAGCGAGCGGTGAACTGGTGGTCCTTGACCTCGATGATCCTCTTATGTTTCAGCGCCCCCTTTCTCTGGAACACTGGCACCCTGGGAGGGGGGGAGAGAGGGGGGAGGGCAGGGGGGAGGGCCCCGGGGGAGGCCAGGGTCAGGGGGAGAGGGAGGGGGACGGGGACACGGGGGTAGACATGCTGCCTGGAGGGATGGGAGGAGAGGGGAAAGGAGAGGTGATGGAGAGGAGGGATGGAAGGATGGAGAAAGAGAAGGTTGAATGTTACAGAGGAGGACATAGAGAGAGAGAGAGAGAAGAGAGAAGATAGAGAGAAGAGTAGAGAGAGAAGAGAGAGAGAGAGAGACGAGAGAGAGATAGATATATATAGAGATGAGTAATAGAGACAGATACAATACCTATACAGACAGATAGAGAGATACAGACAAGATAGAGTAGCTAACAGACAGAAAGATACATACATGAGAGAGTAAGCAAGACAAGCGAGAGAGAGATATAGATATAGAGACGATGAGCGTAGATAGAAGAAGAGTTGAGAAGAGAGACAACAGATAGAGACAACATAGAGAGAGATATGACAAGACATCTGATAGATAGAAGAGAGAAGAGAGAGAGAGAGAGAGAGATATAGAGAGATAGAAATATATAGAGATACACAGACAGATTACATAGAGATATGACAGAGGACCAGAGAGATTGAGACATATAGACCAGATAATAGATATACAGACAAAGAGAGAGAGACAGATCATATATTAGATAATTCGATATAGAGAGTACAGACATAAGAGAGAGACAGACAGAGAGACAAACGACAGACAGAAGATACAGACAAGACAAGAGAGATAGGATAAGATGAGAGGGGAGAGAGAGAGAGAGCGAGAAGAGAGAACAGAGAGACAGACAGACGAGACATACATCAGACAGAACAGAGCAGACAACAGGACAGAGAAAGAGAGTGTATAAAAGAACCCAGAAAGGGGGATGAACAGAGGCAGAGGGAGAGAGATGGAATGTATAAAAAGGAGAGAGGTTAATTCACACATTGAGACAGAGCTCTCCTCAGAGACCCAGAGACACAGAACGATTAGTGAAACTCACACTGTGTCCCACATATGTCCCACTTCACACTCGCTCGCTTTCTCTCTCTCACCCCATCTATCCTCATCGCCATGCCAACTGCAACCTCCCACATCCCCCTGACAACCAAACACACCAGGTTACCATGTCAACCTAACCCCTTGTCTCCATGCCAACCAAACACCCTGGGTTGCCCTGACAACCAATTACCCTCATTGCCATGTCAATTGCACCTCCTGTTGCACCCCCCCACCACCACCTACTCCAATATTACAACTGGTACCCTCTCTGTCCTTGTCTCTTTCCTCTTTGTCCTGATTTGATATTGTGTTAATTTCGCCATAAAAGTTTGGAATGTATTCTCATGCACAGTGTATCAGAGTCAAAAGTGAGGAAAGAAAAACTATAGCAATGTGAAATATTAAACTGAGAGAAGAGGAGTAGTAGACTGCTAAATGATAAATGAAACCACAACAGAGATTGAATGAATAAGTAAATAAGCCAAGAGCGTACAGCATAGCAAACACGACTTGTTGAAATGATTATGGCACACAGGAAGATGGAGGAAATTGATCCAATGGGTGAATACCAGAGATAGGGAGGGCTGAAAGAACACAGAAACAGAACAAACTAAAATAAGAAAAAAAAGAAATCATCAACAAATAAGGACCAGTGTGGAAAGCTGTGTGGAGATAGAGGTGGAAGGAGGAAGAGAGAGAGAGAGAAACAAAGAGAAAGAGAGAGACAGTACCTGTATTTGTGGTTGTTTTGGCTGAGACTTGATCAAAGAGCAGGCTTCTCTTCTTCCTCTCCCCCTCTCTTTATCTCTCCTCCTTTGATAGGCAGCCTGCTATCGCTCTGAACCTGTCGCTGGTCACGACAAAAAAGAAAAAGTGAAGGAAAGACAGAGAGAAAGGCAAGTGGTGGCAGGGAGGAAGAGCTGGGAAGGGATGAGATTGAAGCTTTCCAAGAACGAGAGAAGACAGAGGAGGAGTGGAGTGCTATGTATCCGTTAAGTTAACCCACACAGGGTGAAGAGGGGGAAGAGATGGAGAGATAGAATTCTCTTTTCAAGATTGATTCTATTTTACCAAGAGGAAGACGGGATAGGAGATGGTGAGAGAGAGAGAAAGAAGAGAGAGAGAGAGAGAGAAGAGAGAGAGAGGAGAGAGAGAAGAGAGAGAGAGAGGAGAGAGGGAGAGAGGAGAGGGAGAGAGGAGGGAGGGAGGGAGGGAGGGAGGGAGGGAGGGAGGGAGGGAGGGGTGGAGGGAGGGAGGGAGGGAGAGGGGAGGAGATGAGAATAGGCAGTAATTCATTTTGAAATCTGGGTTACTTCTCCTGGAGAGAGACAAAGCGAGAGAGCAAGTGAGGGAGGGAGAAGAAGGGGGGACAGTGGCAGAAATGGCCATTTTGCCACCATCACTATGGACTAACACCAACCAACAGTCTCACACTTCTCACAGTGACAGACTGATAGAGAGAAAGGAGTAAGACAGAAGAAAGGCCTTGATAGATCAGTGTCTCTAAACAACGCAAGTCTATCAAGGGTTAATCATCAATTCATTGTACAAGATCTGTTGCCTTACAACTAGCTGCCAGGGGTGTTGGCAGTAATGGTTGGACCATATTCAGAACAGCCTGTGGAAGGATCAAGGCCCATTTGCTGTGAATAACTTGGTCATTATTCCTGTGGAATGGAGATAGGGAACAGTACTGTTATTCCAGTGGAATGGAGATAGGGAACAGAACTGTTATTCCAGTGGAATAGAGATAGGGGAACATAACTGTTATTCCAGTGGAATGGAGATAGGGAACAGAACTGTTATTCCAGTGGAATGGAGATAGGGAACAGAACTGTTATTCCAGTGGAATGGAGATAGGGAACAGAACTGTTATTCCAGTGGAATTGAGATAGGGAACATAACTGTTATTCCAGTGGAATGGAGATAGGGAACAGTACTGTTATTCCAGTGGAATGGAGATAGGGAACGGAACTGTTATTCCAGTGGAATGGAGATAGGGAACAGAACTGTTATTCCAATGGAATGGAGATAGGGAACAGTACTGTTATTCCAGTGGAATGGAGATAGGGAACAGAACTGTTATTCCAGTGGAATGGAGATAGGGAACAGAACTGTTATTCCAGTGGAATGGAGATAGGGAAGATAACTGTTATTCTAGTGGAATGGAGATAGGGAACAGTACTGTAGCATGGGTCTATGTAGAACCAGTGGTGGTTATCATTAGTAATCTCTGGTGGCAAGTGGTAGAGGGAGTGAACCATCACCTCAATACTGTAGTCCCTCTGTACCTCAATCCAGGTCACACTGAGGCTCATGGGTAAGGTAGTTTCTCAGAGAGGGGCGTCTGGTGTTATTTAGACCCTACTCACATGGAGAGAAAGGGTTAATGGAACACAAGCAGACACACACATAAGGTTTAGGACCTCGTACGAGACAGCAGTAAAACACACCATGTTAACACTGACATTGAACAGAGAGATGGAATAGGATGGACGGCATGGGAAAAGAGAGAGAGCGGTCGAGATAGAGATATACTGTACAGACTGGGGATGAGGTGATGAGAGTGAGATAAATGGGCTGATCGAGAGGGACGGAGAGATGGAGAGGGATCGAAGGGTTGAAGGTCTAATTAATGAAAATGTAGGTTATTAGTCTCCTGATGAAGACACCGCCATAGAATTAATTAACAATTATAATTAGCAAGATTGTTAGAGAGCAAAATGGTGTCAGCGAGCAAGATAAGAGTGTGGTGTGTGTGTGTGTGTATGTGTGTGTTATCTCTACATGATACATGTCATTTGAACATTAGCCTTCCAGCTAGCAGCTGACAGGAAGTGATCTGGCCTTCCTTTCTGTCACGTTGTTACATTCTCACAGTCTGTTTGAATTGAAATTGCTTTCTGCCACTCTGTCCCATCACACACTAACTCAGTCACTGGGCTACAGTAAGTTAATGATTTGTCATTGTATGACTTCACCACTAACAATCAGGTTTCCTGAATAAGGTCTTATGCTTACAACATTTGCCCCTGTTATTTATATTCTTAATAAAAGATGATCAAACCAAAGCTAAAACCAGATGTAATCAAAAACGTTATTTCCCTGTTCATTCTGGCTTCTCTGTTTTATTCCCTCATAACATTTACTATAACATTTACTAACATTTCATAACTCTGTTCCTTGTTGTTTTTAAGCTATACTGTATTATGAGGACCATAAACAAGCAAGCTATCTTCTCAAAGTAAGAGGAACAATTGAGACAACAACATGGACCTCAGAGTTTATACTCACTGGTAACTCAACATGGACCTCAGAGTTTATACTCACTGGTAACTCACCATGGACCTCAGAGTTTATACTCACTGGTAACTCAACATGGACCTCAGAGTTTATACTCACTGGTAACTCAACATGGACCTCAGAGTTTATACTCACTGGTAACTCAACATGGACCTCAGAGTTTATATTCACTGGTAACTCAATATGGACCTCAGAGTTTATACTCACTGGTAACTCAACATGGACCTCAGAGTTTATACTCACTGGTAACTCAACATGAACCTCAGAGTTTATACTCACTGGTAACTCAACATGGACCTCAGAGTTTATACTCACTGGTAACTCAACATGGACCTTACAGCAAGTTTATAACTCACTGGTAACTAACTGGACCTCAGAGTTTATACTCACTGGTAACTCAACATGGACCTCAAAGTTTATACTCACTGGTAACTCAACATGGACCTCAGAGTTTATATTCACTGGTAACTCAATATGGACCTCAGAGTTTATTCTCACTGGTAACTCAACATGGACCTCAGAGTTTATACTCAACGGTAACTCAATCGGAAAACAACGCACATAAAATGGGCAATAATGTTTGATTCTGTAGTCTGCAGTATGCTTTGTAATACCTGATGTGGTTCACTGGCGAGTATCCCACAGTGTGTGTGTAAGAAAGAGTGTGTGTGTGTGTGTGTGAGAATGCCCACGTGTGTGTGCATGTATCCATACGGTTATCTGAGCATGCTTTACAGTTGTGAGTCCCGGGCTATAAAAAAGAGACCAGGCAGTGATGCAT